GGGCGGGCCCGGTGCCCGCCCGGTGAAGCCAGCGAAGTTGCGGGAGCGCTGCAGAAAGGCGCGAAGCCGCCGTTCGGCCGTGGGAGCCTTTGCTTCCGCAAGCGGTGACACCCGGGGAGGCGAATAAACAGCAGTAAAGCAATAAAGAGTAATAAAATAAATAACGCGGCGCTCTCCAGCGGAGAATGTCTGCCGTAGAATTAGCGGTGAGGATTGTTTATCCTGAGCAACGCCCATACCGTTGCGGAGGGAGTCAGGGGAGCAGGAGGAACAGGGGCCTGGGCTGAAGGGCTTGTAAGGCTTTTCCCTGATCCCGGCATTTCTGGCCTGCTCTCCTTTATCAGGTGGAGACTCGGATCAAACGTCCCCTTTGAGGCAGAGTTGCTTCCCTTCTGCCACACCCGAAGGCAAGAATCAGGCCCCGCAGCCGGAAGCACGTTTCCCTTCGTGATCTCACCTCCTCCTGGCCGGCTTGACATGTGACAGCAGTCTGGCCGGTCCCTCCCAGACTCACCGGCACTTAAAAGAGTTAATCTCTTTCTTCCTCACGTGTTTCTGGGGGAGGAATCCTGTTCCACACCCTGGCCAGGCTTGTGGAGAGTCAGACAGTGGAGTGGTGGAGAAAAACCAGTCATCCCAGTGGTGATTTAATGTCAGGGGACCTTGGAAGCCTGTGATGGTTGCCTTTCTCACCGTTCCACTGCAAGCATGGCGAGCCTTTTGGAACCACGTGCTTTTGCTGGGCATGTAAATGAGGACTGGTTTGAGCGGTTTGCTTTTGCTTGCTCTTGCATTAAATCTAATGCTGTTAGGTTATAACCAGGGAGTTACCACAGGCAGGGTCCCAGGGGGCTGGTATTAAAGCAGGTACGTGCAATGGCTGATGAATCCTCAATCAGGCATGTTGGAACCAATGTTTTAAAAAAACACATAGAGGTGTTTCTCCAGTTATTATCAATACGGTGTCCCAAAAGCAGATGACTGGAGTAGGGAATCAAGAACTGAGAGAAAAGGTGGGGAATGGTCATGCCTGCTTTCTGTATCGCTCCGGCTCTCCTGCAGGTTGTATTAGACTGAATCCCACTTTACTTCCCCATACTGTGACTGCATTCACTGGGAACACCTTTTGGAGAATGAATATAGATCCCCTCAAAAGAAAAAAAAAAAAAAAAAGCCCTACTTTCTAATTGCCTTCATTTTTACCAGTGTCTGAAGTGTGACAAGCACCTTGAAGGCACTTCAGGATGTTGCTCAGATGGTTGCTGCAGACCAAAACAAGAAGAGGCCACCTAGCCTCACTCATAGTTAATTTAATCTAATTAATAACCCACTACGCTGAGGACTGACTCAGGTGCTGGGGGCAAATTTTTTGAGCAGCTAGGAGAGGTCAGTGTAACTAAGGAGAACAGCTACTTCTTTGCACCTCTTTCTTATCACTGGCTGTTTTTTCCTTCTGTCAGTTATGTGGTATGGTGGTGTTTTTTTCTCACCCAGAGTTTTGCTCTAGGTTTTCTTCCTTCCTGGGCTGTTACTTTGTTGGTGATCTTGTTCCTGGTAGCCTGATGTAATCTGTTTTTAGGTATTTGTTGTGTTTTGTTTTCCCCTTCTTATTCTCTGTGATACCTGGGTTTGGGAAGCTCCTTTATCTCTCCTTAAGCACACTCTATTGGATAAATGTGTCTGTGAGTTGAATTCACTAGATATTTTTCTCAATTCTTCTCTGCAACACGTGTGCTTAAATCATCTTGTGTCTGTTTTGATGGAAAATAGCTTGTTTCAGCGATTCAGAAACTGGTGATAATAAAACCTCTGGCATGGCATTGAATGCAAGAGCAGCTTGTGACACATTTCAATGTGAATTCTGATGATCTGTAGCAAAAGGAGCATGTTCTGGCTGAAAGAGCAGTAAAATTGATTAGTTTCTGTATGTGAATTTTCCTGAGAACCCAACTTCAGTATTCAGTGTCTGCATCTGTTTACCAAGCTGCAAGTGTGATGCTGTTAGTGGTATTTGGATTCACTGGGTGTAGCTGGCTTATACAGTGGAACTGTAGACTGCTTCCTCATGTAATCGGGTTGGAGGGATTACAGAAATTAAGAACCCGAGTGTCAGCCTTGCTGGTAAGAATTTATCTGTTGGCTTTCTTCACCTTTCCTACCGATGTTTCTGCACCTTAACACAAGGCTCCCATGATGTCATTAATCTAGGAGGGCTTCTGCCCATCTATCTGTATGCAAAATAATGAGAACAGCCTAAAGTTGCGTTGACTATTTCTGAAGTATTTTGGTCAAATATTGTGCTCTGAGGTGACCTGGAGGGCCATGCCTTCTATCAGATGTTGAAACGGGCATTTGCCTAAAAGCAAGGTCTGTCAGGCTGATGGTGGTTACGCTGCCCTGGGGAATTTAAGCTTTGGTGCTGTTATTGCAAAACTGGCATGATGGTCATGTGTGATACCAGCTAAAAACCTTGGGCAGAAGGTTTCTGCTTCTTTCTGTGTAAAGGCCTTGGCTGCAGTTTTACAAACTTAGACTTACTAGGTTTTTTATTAATCCAGTTCTGGTGGGGGTAGATGTGTTAATTCTGATCCTAGACAAACAATTTTTATTTCAAAGACTTTGAAATACGTGTAGCCTTACTTATATATAGTTGCTGCTATTGCACAAAAGCATCTGCAGAGCAAAGGTATCTGGAGAGCTGTTTCACAGGAAGGCATCCTGATTTAACACACTGTGGAATTTGCTCCCAAGCATGACACTGCTTATCCTGTGAATGTGTGACAATAATTTATGATGCTGCTCTGCCCTAGCTGCACTTGGGTTCCCAGCAGTCAGGTAGGCAGCTTTGCTTATCAGCTCTAAGATTTGAAGGATGGGGAGAAGGAAAACCTTTCTATGAGTACCAGCTCCCATGTATAAGGAAAAGACTTTATGTGTGTCAGTTATGAGGAGTGCTAGGTGGACTTAAATAGATGGCTTAGTCTCAGCAGCATCTTTTTGGTTTGGGTTTTTTGGGCTGCTGTAAGGACCCTGGTCTGCTTGCCTGAGGCCTCTGCAAAATGAATGCTTATTCAGAATCGTACAAGTAAAACCCCCACTCTGCTTTCTGAAGGAAGGGCTCATTTTTTTTTCCTGAAGAGCTAAGGTGCTCAGGCAGAGATGCACAGGAGCAGGTCCCACTCAGCCCTGCCAACAACTCTGGGGCTTCTGGTGTGGCAGCCTTTGCGGAAGGCCTGAGCAGAGCGTGGGGGTTTTCCTCCTGGGCACTTGGCAGCTGAAGCTGCATAGGCAGAGCCGTAGTGGGACAGAGGTCAGGTGGGGAGAAGCTGTGTCAGCT